TCCTAGGCCCAGCTTTGGGCCCTGGCAAGGTCTGAGGAGGGAGCGCTGCGAGTGAGATAAACATTCTCTGTTCGGGAGCTGGTTGGTTGGAAGGGAAGACAAGAGGATGTGGGGACAACAGGTCAAAGTGTTTGTCCAGGCTGAGAGGAGAGAGACCGTCACGGCCCTGGAGCAATAAGATGATATGGACTTTTCCACCCAGAAGAGGCCTTGGCAGAAACCCAGGGAAGAAAAGTCCATTGAGTAGGGATAGAAAACAGTTTCTCAAGCTTGCCTTTGCTCCCTCTTTCTCTCCAGCCTTACTGAGCCTAATCAGGTCAAGCATCCAGCTCCTGCTGCCAGACACAGTGGCATTGTTTAAATATCCCTGGCCTCCCCCCAATACCCTGTCCCCACTGGGAACCGAGTTCCGACAAAGGAGGCCCTGAGGGACGGGCCTGAGAGGACAGAGGCCCAAGGCAGGGTCACTCCCTCTGTCACCCTCTTCTCCCTCCGACTTACTATTTTTCTGCCAGGGACCTGAGAGGGAAAACAAGCTGGCCTCTGGAAAACCTGATGGCTGTTTTTGTTTACATAAAGGTACTTTCCCAGCAAACTGCTCCCTGAAAGGTCAGCACTAATCCCAGGCAGCCTGGGACTAGGTAACAGGTTTGGGAGGTGGGAAGAAGAAAAGAAACTGTGGGCCACTTGGGGTCAGATGACTTCACTGTAGTGGGGAAATGGCAAGGCGGGCGACAGGGAGGGGAGCTTCCTGTAGATGAGGCTCTGGAAGATGTTCATTGCTACATAAAAATTAAAGAGGGCTTGTTTATCTGCCTTCCAGAACACCCAAGAGCATGGCAAAGAAGCTGGAGCCATGGGCAGGACACAACTGAGCTTGGCATCTGGGCCTGGATCTGCCACTGCCTCTGGCTTCACCTCTCTGGGCCTCAGGTTGCATGAAGGCATCAAAGTAGAAACAACTTTGAGATCCCTACTAACCCATATATTGTAAGCTTTCAGCAAACATTTACTTAACATACACCATGTGTCTGATATGGTACTAAACCCAAGCTCCCAGATAAGGTGAATGATTGCCCCAATTTTCCCAGGACTCTCCCAGTTTTAGCACCAAAACCCTGAACAGTTGGTCACACCAGCCCCAGACCTCAAGCAGCTCATGGTATGGAAACAATGACAGATGTGTAATAGCATGTGATGATTGGTCTAGTAGAGAGTTTACAAAGGCATGGGACTCGGTGGAGGCAGAGACTAGCTTTTGGCAGGAGAGCTGGTAAATTTCACCATAGTGACACTTGTGAGCAGTGGGGAACTATGGGTGGATTAAAAAAAAGTCATCTGTATTGAGGTATGAATTATATACAATACAGTGTACATACTTCAATGTACAGTTCAATGAATTTTGACAAATACATATATCCATGTAACTATAACATCAATCAGAAAATTTATACCACCCCAACAACTTCCCTAGTGCTCCTTTGTAGTCAATCCTATGCCAACTATCCCATCCCAGGTAACCACTTACCTGGTTTCTATAATTATAGATTCGTTTTATGTATTCTAGGACTTCATATAAATGAAATCATAAAGTCTGTGCTCTTTATTATCTAACTTGTTTGCTCAGCATGTTTTGAGAACCAAAGATGTTGCATATCAAAGTAGTTTTGTTTCTTTTTTTTACTCCAGGGTATAGCTATAATCACAATTTGTTTATCCATTTACCTGTTGACGAACATTTGAGTTGTTTCCAGTGTGTTTGTTTGTTTGCTTGCTATTATGGAAATGCTGTTACGAATATTATATCAAGTCTTTGTGTGGTTATATGTTTTCATTTCTCTTGGCTAAACACCTAGAAGTGGAGCTGCTGGGACATAGGTTAAGTCTATGTTCACGTGGAGAGGAAATTGCTTCACTTTTCTGAAGTGGTGGTACCATTTTACAGCCCATTCCATCCCTGTATGAGAGTTCCAGTTGTTCCGCATCCTCATCAAAACTTATTATTGTCAGTTTTTAAAATTTCGGCCATTCTCATAAAACCGTATTGTAGTTAAATTTGCATTTCCCTGATGATTATTGATGTTGAACACTTTTACTTACATGTCATTCATATATCTTCTTTTAAAAATGTCTTTGTAAGTCTTTTCCCCATTTTAAAATTGGGTTGTATGTCTTTTTAAAAATCAAATTGTTAGAGTTCATTATATATCCTGAGTGCACATCTTTTGTCTGACGTGTGTATTGCAATTGTTTTCTCTTAGTCTGTGGTTTGCCTTTTTATTTTCTTAAAGGTATATTTTCAAGAACAGAGAGTTTTAATTTTGATAAAATCCAATTTATCAAGATTTTTCTTTTATGGCTTGTGACTTTTGTATACTAAGAAATCTTTGCCTATCACAAGGTCATAAAAATTATCTGTTATTTTTTATCTGTTAAATTATGTTAATTATCTAATATATGAGTGAGTCACTCTCAACAGGCCATAAATAGACTTCTTACGTTTAGGTCTGTGTCCATATCAGATAAATATGTTCACAGAACTAAAGGAAAATATGCTCATAATGAGTGACAAAATGAGGCATCTCAACAAAGAAGTGGAAGCTATAAAAAAAGGACAAATGGAGATTTTTAAAACTGAAAATTGCCATAAACTGATATAAAGTATTCACTGGTTGTATTTAACCGGCACCTTGGCAATGGAAAAGAAAAAGTCAGTAAACCTAAAGACAAATCAAAAGAAATTATCCAAACTAGAGAAAAAATACAGCAGAAAAAATGGGCAGACCCTCAGAGCATATGGGAAAATATCAGATAGTCCGACAACATACATGAAATTGGAAAACTAGAAGAAAAAATGAGGATGAAAACAAGGAAACCACACCTATGCACTTACTAGTCAATCCTGCTCAAACCCAAAAATAAAATTGAAAAATGAAATTTAAAATAAAATAAGAAAAATTTGAAAACACTCAGAATAAAAGACACATTATATACAGAGGAGCAATGATATGAAATATCATTGATTTCTTATGAGACGCAGTAGACAAGACAATGACTGAAATCTTTGAAGTTCTAAAAGATGGAATTTTATATCCATTAAAATGTCCTTCAAAAATGAAAACAAAGATACTTTCAGAAAAACGAAAGCTCATAGAATTCAGAACCAGAATATCTACATTATAAGAATTGCTAAAGGATATTTTTCATGCTAACAGGAAATATCCGATAGATACTTAGATTTACAAGAAGGAATGAAGAGCAGCAGAAATGGTAAATGAGTAAATAAGTATTAAAATTTATGGGATTTTTATCTTCTCTGAATTTTTTTAAAAGACACCTGACTTTTTAAGAAAAATAATAAGGTTGTGGAGCATTTATAATGTATGTACCTATCATGTGTTAAGTTGATATTATAACAATAGCATGTTGGACATAGAAAAATCAATTGCTAATAAATAGGCACCAGTGTCTCTCTATGATCAGCTTCCATTCCTCCTCCATATTCCTGTTATCCTGGGTGGGTCAAATTCACAAATTAAATCATAAATAACTTGTACTTACCAGCTTTTTATTAATCAGAGCTATTTACTTATTCGCACACATTTCCTCATCTCCTGAGCTATTAATTTCCTCAACTATCAGCTCATTCCTTATTTCTTCTATACATGCTTTTTCTCTATTTTCTTGTATATTTAAAAAAAAATTCTTATCTGGTGGGTCATAGCAATGTGATTTATATATCTGTATAAATCAATATATATATAAATTAATTTGTATATAATATATCTACATGTGTATGTTATTACATATGACTTACATGTAATATATATACCTGATAAGGGGTATTTCTGCATATGTTAGTGTTTGTGGCATAGTTTCTGTAGAATGAAGTTGGCAAAATGGGATTGGAGAATCACTGGCTCTGAGTCAGAGCACTAAAATATACCCTTTACAAATTTTATTTAATCCCTATTACTGCTCTATGAATTAAGAGATCTTACACTTATTTTTCAGAAAGAAAACTGCAGCTCAATGAGGTGAAAGTAACTTGCCCAAGACACAGCTGGTAAAAAACAGAACAAGGATTCAAACCAACATCTCTGTG